CGCGCGCCGCAGTCCCGCACGCGCCGCCGGTGCCGGCGTCCCCGCGACTGCGCTGCGCCTAGGCCCGGGCGCCCACCCAGCGGGAGTCAGCGGCGGATGGTCCCGCCCCCTCCACCATGGCCGGACCCGCGCTAGTCTCCTCCCGACCCGGATTCGAACCCAGCCAGGCCCCTTCTGAGCTCTGCGACCTTGCGCAACCGACTGACCTCTCTTAGCCCTTCTGTTTACAAAGTGGAGCTAATGGCACCTGTTTCCCTGGATGGTCGCGACAGTTCGCTAGAACATGTGGAAGGCCTATACAAACCCTAGAGGTTTACACCGCTGGGCAGCGATGGGAGGGGCATTAGTCTTCTCTACAGTCTTCCCGCGCCCCAGTGTGTAGGGGCTTTTAGGAGTCCCTGGCAATCCTGGCCCACGGAAAGGTTACCATGCAAGGGAGGAGAGGGAGAAGGACCCAGAAATTGTCCCCCAGCCCAGAGAAGCAGGAGGGAGTCAGCTCAGTTAAGGCCAGGCCCCTATGGCGCCTTTGGGAAGCTCATAGAAGGCATCAGACCTTCGGCAAGATGCGCGTGAGGACGGGCTGTGAAATTCTGCTTTCAATTTTAGGGGGAGCCCCTCACTTTTATTCTTAAAGAACTCAGGCCGGAGGGCCAAGACATAATGCTGGTCTCTGCCTTTTCCATCATTGTAACCTGAAGCTCTGTGCATCCTAGAGCATCTCTAGTAAAATGCAGACGCACTTCCAGCCAACACCTTCTTTATCAGTTTACACCTTCGTGGTCAAGTTAAGTGGATCACCCTTTCCTTGAGCAGAAGCACCGGAACTGACCAGCAGCAGAGGTCGATGGGGTGGTGGCCCCTGCCTAGGTTTGTGGTTGGAAGGCAGGGGCGTGGGTCTGGCTCTGCCAGCTGGACGCTGTGGCATCTAAATGACATCCTAGGAACTCCTTAGGAATGTTTCCTTTGCTGTAGAATGGAGACCATTGCACTATATACCCCAGGGTTGCAGCCCACCTGTGAAGATGCTGCCTAAACTGTCAGGGACAGGACAGATATTGGTTATGGGCATCGCTGAGGCAAACAGACCTGGTGCAGTGCTCACTGGAGGTGGCCAATGAGGATGAAAAGAAATTTGGCTGACAGTTGAGGGGCTACTCTGTGTGCATGCCCCTCATGCCACCAGTCTGCATCAGGAAGGCCTCTGCCCAGGAGGACTGCACAGAGACCAGTAGCTGTGCTACCAGGCCGAGCCTCAGTTTCCTCTTCTGTCAAAAGGGGACACTAACAGTCTTCCCTCAGAGGGTAATTTTGAGGGTTAGTGTATATAGGAAATGTACGTTGGCACATATTCAGAGATGGGCAGAGTCAGTTTCTACCACAGGACCAGGGTTGAGCTGTTTGCAGGGGCAAACCCAGATGGAGGAGTGGGATGACTCTACAGCAGTCCAGGCTTGAGAGTAGAGGCCAGACCTTGGAGGGGTACCCTGGGGGTGGCTGCCACCTCCCTGACCTGATGCTGGGGACCAACTCAAAGTGAGGTGGGCATCTCACCTGGTATCAAACTAGTGAGTGTATTCATATAGCAATCATCTACCACCTGCCTCCTCCCTGCTGGGCATAGTTCTAGGATTTAGACTTGGCCTCTTCCTGGTAAACCCTCTGGTGCAGGGCAAGGGCAGAAAGCAGAACAATAATCCACCATTACAGTTGTGTGAGGCTCTCAGAGCAGACCTGCTGGGGCTCTGGGTGCATCTGGCAAGGGGAGCACTGGGCACTCTGCCAGCTTCCTAAAGGAAGAGATGTTTGGGCTGCTGAGGCTGCCACAGGAGCGGAAGCGGCCAGAGGTGTGGGTGGAAGAGAAGTGAGTTCCAAGGTGGGGAGGGCCCTGGGCCTGAAGGAGCATGAGGCCTGGGAAGAACCCAGAAAAGACCAGTGTGGCTGGAGCCAGAGAGCGTGCAAGGATACTGGGAACAGTCGTGCCAGGCTGTTGCCCTTGATTAGGATTGGGCGTCTTGGCCTAAGAACTAGCGGAGAATTTTAAGATTAGCCTTTTAAATTTGAGGAAATGGCAAATTTTTGTTTCATATTTATGCATAGTAGGCATGCCCCATAGACAATGTGAGTTGTCCTACTGGGCATAATCAAACAAATATCAACTAGTTAGTCCAGAGAAAATAAGAAAGAGCAGAGAAATCAGTCCATGAGTCCAAGTTCAGCGCAGGGCCTGCTGCAGCCGTGGGATTACAGGGAGACAGTGTGTCAGGAGCGGGTGATGGGGCTGGGCATGCTGGCCCAGGGAGAAGGGGAAGTGGGCAGTGGGTGAAGACCAAGGAGGGTGCTGTTGTGAGAAAAGCGCTAGAGGAAGGGGTGGCACTTGTCCAAAAGATGGAGGAGCAGTTGGAGAGGCTGCCAAGAACCAGGGAGTGGAGGGTCCTAGAGCCGTGGGAAGAGAGTGTCTCCAGAAGGAAGAAGTAGTTAGCTGTGTCATGTGATACTGGGAGGTGGAGTATGCTGAGGACAGAGAAGGATCCCCGTGAGCAAAGGCCAGCAAAGGTAGACATCAGTGTGTAAGGAGTTCAGGGCATGGGGCCACACAAAGCTAATGCTGGACTGGTGGGTCACAGTGAGGCACGGTGAGCCCAGGGTGCCAGGTGTGGATGTGCAGTCCTTAGGGTGGGGGTGGGGATGGGGCTGGGGCCAGAACCTGGGCCAACCCTCTGTCCTGAGTCCTCACTGGCCAGGAGAACAGGACTCGGAGACAACAGCTGGAGCTCTGCAATAGAAAGAGGAAGGGGGCTCTGGGGACTGAGCCCACCTGGCACCTCCCCAACTCATCAGGGACAGCTGGCGGAGGGGTGGCCCCTTGAGATGGTGTTACGCCCTCCCTCAGGAAATGACCAAACCTCAACCGCAGGTGGCTACATGCCATGGGCGTCTGTGACCCTTCAATCCGAGTGGATCTTTCTGGCTTATCAACCGCCGAACACTTCCTGGCCCCTAGACACCAGCCAGGCCAGACTGGGGTCCCTCCCCCAGGAAGTCTTTGTCCCTCACAGTCTGGACTCTCCTCCACCTCCACGAGGCGCAGCAGCCCCGCACCTCTCTTTCTGCACTTCCCAAGCCCCTAGGACACTGGAATTCTTCCTTTATGTGGGTGTCAACCTGTTCTATAACGACCTGTCCCTGGCCGACTGCTCCCCTCATCATCTTCCCACTTCCTGAGGGAGGTGGTGGTGCTGGTGTCTGGCTTGTCTCTGGACCACTGACAGCCCAGGGCCTGGCCTGTGTGCAGATGCCACCCCATCTTGGCTGGGTCTTCTCTGTGTCCCACCCGTCTTGCCCTCCAGCCTTCAGTGACCTTCAGGCTGTGGCCCAGCTGGATAGGTGTCTCCAGTTTGTTTCCTTGGGGTCTGTGTGCCCCACTCCCACTTGAACAAGCCATCACAGATCTGGGTTAGTTATAAATAGCTAGGCCCGCGACTCTCCTTTTAGCTAAAAAGAAGCAAAGTGAACGAGCAGAAAGGCGCACCCGGGGTGTCTCCAGTTTGTTTCCTTGGGGTCTGTGTGCCCCACTCCCACTTGAACAAGCCATCACAGATCTGGGTTAGTTATAAATAGCCAGGCCCGCGACTCTCCTTTTAGCTAAAAAGAAGCAAAGTGAACGAGCAGAAAGGCGCACCCGGCACGCGTTTTATTTTTAATCTTCTCCCTCTGTCTCAAAACGAACCCAGGTCCTAGTTTTGAGCATTTCTAGGAGCAGCGGCTATAAGACAAATGCTTGAGAAACGAAACCTGAGGACCTGAAGGTGCTGGCTTTGCCCCCGTCTGCTGTGTGATCTCAGGCATTTGAGTTGCCTCTCTGGGCATGGTTTCCTCACATACTGGAGGGTGATCACTTCTAGTATTCTGACTTCTCTGACCTCAACTCCTCCCCTCTGTCCTTCCCCCAGCCTATGCCTGTTCCAACTCAGGCAGCAGCTCCCAGCAGCTACAGCAGTGACACCCGTCCCTGGGATTGCCTGGGAAGCTCAGGTCCAGTGCAAGTGAGGCCACAATCAAGCCCCGATTTGATGGTTCACAACTTTCCCAACCCCAGGCTTTTGCTCAGGAGTTCCCTAGCCTGGAACCTTGTCCCTCCATCTGCCAGCAAAATCCTTGGAAGGTCAAGTTGTCACCTCCCCACTGTGAGCTGGGGAGGGGAGGTCTAGGTCATGGCTGAGTGGGACCCATGGGAGCAGGTAGCCAGTGCCTGAGCAGGGAGTAGAGCAGGAGCCGGAGGCCAGGTGTTCGCCTGGCCAAAGGGGAGTTGTGAGGGAGAGAGAGGTTCAGGACACAAGGAGAGGCAGGCTGGAGGTCCACTGACAGGTGCTCTGCAGGGCTTGGAGTGTGTAGCTTTTGTCTTTGTATCCTACTTCTCCCCACTCCCCCGGCAGGCCCTTGCTCGTAGCTAGGACTCAGTGTTGGTGGAATTCAGGAGACTAGCTGCCCTAGACCCAGACGTTCTGGACACACAGTGACAGTCCCTTACATGGATTTGGAAATCTGTAGAACATGGAACATGTTCCTACCTATGACTCCACTGGTATTGTACAGCCCCCAGCCAGGTAGGCTCATTTCAGTGATGAGGAAACCAAGCTCAGAGAAGTTAAGTAACTTGTCCAAGGTCACATAGCTGGGACAGGAGTCAAACCTAGGCTTTAGGAGTCAAACCTAGGCTTTATTTGAAATCCATATGTACTAAATCTTAAAAAGCCCAATACAGTTGAGGCAACAGGAAACTGCTTTTCCTGTGTCAAGAGTGCCCTGAGAACAAATGATAGAGCTAGCTGCTCCACCCCGATACCCCAGTGAGAAGCTGGCGAGGGGCACTGGGAGCCACTGGACACCAGGGGGCATGCGGGGGGGGGGG